GTTATGTGAGCCATCTCCTGTGTATATCCAGTTATGTGAGCCATCTCGTGTGTATATCCAGTTATGTGAGCCATCTCCTGTGTATATCCAGCAGCACACGCTAGTGTTTGTCACAGCACAAAGTGCTCTCAGATGAGTGCAGACCATGATAGCCATGTGCCATTTGAGGGTTGCTTCTGTGATAAAATGAGTTTCCTGCAAGTCAAAGACAAAATTTTTAAACATTAAAAATAAATTCTTTAGCCAGGCGGTGGTGGCGCACGCCTTTAATCCCAGCACTTGGGAGGTAGAGGCAGGTGGATCTTTGTGAGTTCGAGGCCAGCCTGGTCTACAAGAGCTAGTTCCAGGACAGGCTCCAAAGCTACAGCAAAACCTTGTCTCAAAAAAAAAATTCTTTATATTCAAGGCCTTATGAATACCAAAAATATGAATAATAGCTATCTGTGATGGTATATGCCTGTAATCTTAGCACTAAGGAAGCCGAGGCAAGAGGATTGCAGTGAGTTTAAGTCCAGCCTCAGAAATAGTGAGATGTTGTCTCAAAAAGAATTATAGTTAAGGATTATACATTGAGTTATTTTTATAGGGAGATCCATTCAGAATTATGAGTAAGGTAAGAATAAGTTTAGAATACCTTTTATTTGTAAATTAGAAATTTTCTATAGCAAATGTATTTTATTTTATAGATAACTGTGGAATGAGCCTCTTCAATCCAAGATGCTCTAAAATCTGAAATATTGGAATATCTAGAACTTCTTGAATGGACATGATGTCACAATGGAAAATTCCACAACCTCATGTGATAGGTCACAAAGTGCAGGTTTAGTAAAAATGCTATATAAAATTACCTTTAGGCTATGTATATGAGTCCACTCTCCAAAATATCTTACTGTGTATGTAATTATTTCAGAACCCTAAATCTAAAGCACATTGGTACTTAGCATTTTCTCAACCTGCATTATATATACTCTTTAATGATGAAGAATTTCCTAATATAGGAGCTGGAGAGATGGCTCAGAGGTTTAGAGCACTAGCTGCTCTTCCAGAGGTCCTGAGTTCAATTCCCAGCAACCACATGATGGATCACAACTATCTATAATGAGATCTGATGCCCTCTTCTGGCCTGCAGGCATACATGCAGACAGAACACTGTATAAATAATAAATAAATAAGTCCTTTAAAAAAAGAATTTCCTAATATAATCAATGATGTGTAAGATAAGACAGTTTTATATGATATCTCTTACTTACTCACATGCTGTAATACTTTCCCATCTCCCCATTTAGTTCTTGGATGAAATTTCATCTACAGAAACTAAGGAGTCCAGTGGTACGAGCGAGCCTGTGCACCTGAAAGAAGGGTAATTAATGAAATGAGAAGGAAAGTTATGTTTCACTGTAGGCAGTAAGTACAAAGATCATGGGTCTGAGAGTTAGGAAACCTGAGTTTTCATTCTGTTCCAGAACGTCTTAGGCATCTTCAGTCGGGTAAATCACCCTCCCTGCCTGTCAGCTCCATGTCATAGGGCAGCACTCACTGACTGCCGAGCCCCAGGGTCTGCAGCTAAGAGATAGCTCTGGTCAGCCTAACTTTTATTTCTAGGAGTTAATGGGATGGAAATGACTTACCTGGACCATTTTTATTCTGTATAGTAGAGTTTTAGAACTACATTGATTAGGGCTAGAGAGAAGACTCAGTCATTAAAAGAACTGACTGCTCTTGTAGAGGACCTGAGTTCAATTCCCAGCAACCACACAGCAGTTCACAACTATCTATAACTCCAGTTCCAGGGGATCAGATGCCCTCTTCTGATTTTCACAGGTATTGCACACATGTGTATAGACATCATGCATGCTAAACACCATACCTAAAAGTAAAACTAAAACAACCCTACATTAATTAAAGACTAGTCCCTCAGTGTGGCCTAAGTAAAATACACGTCATCGGTGGAAGTCACTGCTGTACATATAGTCATGCTTGACTACCGGTGTCCGCCAGTAGTTAGGGTCAGTTCTTAGTTTCAGATGAACAGTTTTAATCTCTGAGACTGATTGTTTGTTTTATGTCCGTTATGTTGGCAGTGAAATGTATAAAAGAGCTCAAGGAAGAACCCGTATTGGAAAAAAGAATTTCAAGAAACGATGGTTCTGCTTGACAAGCAGAGAGCTCACCTACCACAAACAGCCAGGTAGAGTTGGTTTATGCTTTCTTGTGGCCTTACTCTGCTGGATCTCGGCGCTGCAGTCAATCATTGCACAGTGAATGATTGAGTTTTGATGGTTGAGAGATCGGACGCTTAAAAAAAAGGAATCCCACACTAGCTCAGAACTAAGAAATAGACCAGTGTTTATAAAAAGGTAAAACTTACAAAGTCAGGATTCTCTGCTTGAATGATGGATGAAGATCAGATCCAAAGCAAACCGAATAGCAGACTGGGCCCAGGGGGAAGCAGAGAGGAAGGGGCCGGACGTGCTTCCGCATCCAGGTAAATAGTCTGTGAGGCCACGCCCCAGTAGATGGGTAGTTGCGAGCTATACACCTTCCTGCAACACCGTTTCTCACAGTGACAAAAAAAAAACTAAACTGGAGGGGCTGGAGGTATGGCTCAGAGGTTAAGAGACTGACTGTTCTTCCAGAGGTCCTGAGTTCAATTCCCAGCACCCACATGGTGGCTCACAACTATCTATAAGATCTGATGCCCTCTTCTGGCAGGCAGGCGTAATACATGCAGGCAGAACATTGTATACATAATAAATAATTTTTAAAAAACAGTTAATTATTAAAAAACTAAACTGGAGTGCTTATTTTTATCACTTTGTGTGATATGTAATAAAACTATAACATAAAAGCCTGACATAAATCAATTTGAGAGGGCTGGAGAGATGGCACATAGATAAAGAATAATAAATCAAGGGCTGGAGAGATGGCTCAGTGGTTAAGATCACTGCCTGCTCTTCCAGTGGTCCTGAGTTAAATTCCTAGCAACCTCATGGTGGCTCACAACCATCTGGCGCCCTCTTCTGGCCTGCAGGCATACATGCAGACAGAACACTGTATACATAATAAATAAATAAAGCTTTAAAAAAATCAATTTGAGAGCAAAACAACTGGACTTGGTAAGTAAGACAGTATAGCAATAAAAGCAGAATGGTACAGGCTTAACAGTAGCTAACAACTGCAAACATTCAGCATATCAGAAGGTGTTCAGAAGGTTTTTGAAGTCCTATCAAATCTGATTGGTAAATCCTTACTAAGAGAGCTTCTATAAATGCCACAGTGATGGCATAACCACCTGACATAGGGTACTTGAAGAGAAGGTAGAGTGCATCCCTGGAGACCGCTGAGTGGTAGAATGGTGGAGGAGAGATACTTTAAAGAGATGGGATCTTGACCCAGAACTCTGGGCTTAAGCAGTTGTCTTGCATCAGCCTCCCAGATAGCACGGACTGCTGTTATCAGCTAAGAGAAACACATACACATGCATGAGCAGCTTATTCAGAATGAATGAATATACATATGTTATATATCCAAGTATATTAGTAAGAAATTTTTTAGAATGAGTTGCATTTTAGGCACCAGATAGTTTGTTACAGTATATAAATATGTAGGCTTGCCTTCTCAGTGTTCTTAAAACTGACTTCAAATGTTTCAAAATTTTATATTCTCACCTGCTGGGCATGGTGGCCCAGAGCTTTAATCCCAGCACTTGGGAGTAGAGGCGGGTGGATCTCTGTAAGTTCAAGGCCAGCCTGGTCTACAAAGTGAGTTCCAGGACAGCCAGGACTGTTACACAGAGAAACCCTATCTTGAAAAACCAAATAAATAAATAAATAAACAAACAAATGAATGAATGAATAAATATTCTCACCTATGGATAGTGTTGTTTATTATGTTTGTATTAATAATAGAATAAAGCCAGGCATGGTGGTGCACACCTTTTATCCTAGCTGAGGCAGAGTTCAAAGCCAACCTGGTCAAGGTGTAGTGAGTTCAAGTACAGCCAACGTTAAATATAGAGAGAGACTATCTCAAAACAAACAAACAAAAAACAATAGTAATAACAGTAGTGCAATTAAATAAAATATAAGGTAAATTAGTCATTTTCTGTGAATAAACAAAGCACTGTCTAGTCCAAGCTAGTATTCCAAAGTCTGCTGGTTATAACATCCTTTAAGTCAGATGATAGTCACAGTGCCTTTCTTCTGAGAATCCTGCATATAAACATATAGACATGGCGTTTGCATAGGAATTTCATGGACCTCATAGGCCTGAAGTATAGCTACAGTTGTCAGGTTTAACCTTTCTTCCCTCTGCTGATGATAAAGGGATAGATTTCATAGAATTAGACTATCGGAACAATAAGAATGAATATATGAGAGCTTCATTGCTTTTGTGTTGGCGAAAATACACAAATGAGATTGTGAGATTGCTTACCAAAACTTGCAATTTAAGCATACATACTCGTTTTAACTATTTTGATGGATTTTTCCAAAATGTATTGTGTGTTTTCCTGCCTTCTAAAAAATAATTCATTGAATGTAAGTTAACATTTTCTGGTTGACTTGGGATGTTTGTTGGTAATGTTAATTCTACATAGTGCCCTACTTACTGCGTTGTCAGAGTCTGTGAGAGTGGGTGCAGCTGTTTTCCCAGCTAAACGTCTTAGACCACTGTGCTTTTTGTGTCCATGTGTTTTCTCTGTGGTTTCTCTCACCTGTCTGGTCAGGCTGTCACCTTAAATTTCATATGCCGTCAGTTTCTTTAACGTACAGTTTTTATGTTCATGATTCTGTATATACTCTACATAAAGATCTTTCCTTCTTCGGGTCTGTGATCTGATGTCCTGTAAGTCTCAGATCACATGTCAGCTCTTCATTGAAGTCATTTTAGGTCTCTAGCCACTTAGCTGCCTATTTAATAGGAACATCCAGCACATTGGTCACTCCACGTCATCGCTGTCTTCGCCTGCTCTTTAAGATCTTAGTGGCAGCAATCATGTCACTAGCGTGAAAGCAGTTAGCAGATATTCTTCAAAGAACACCAAGTCTTACAAATACACTGTCGCCTGAATTACTTCAGTAACCACTACTCTGGATTCTGAAGCTTTAATCAAATTTACTAGTAAAATTTTTAATAAACTCAACTTTGAAATACTTATGTGAGATTTACTTAGGTAATGTATGTTCTTAGGACCTATTATCTGTAGGTACATACAGACAGTTTATACAGCTTCCATCAATATACACACTCAGTATGTTTATGAGGACTAGACTTTTGCCTGCTCATGTTTCCCGACATGAGGCTCTCCAGAGTTTTTGTTTGTTTGTTTTCTTAATAGCCAAAGAACCAAATAATTAATTCAATTATGCAAATACTTTCAGCTAAACCTATTTTACTGGGTACCCACTCTGTGCCAGAGGCACAGGACAGAACAGTAGTGAAGAAGACATACTAAAGCCCAGGCCTTTACTCACCTTACAGGTTAGTACTGATAGATGATAAGACAAATGGGGTTTTTTTTGCTTTTTTTTTAATTTATTTATTATATATATAGTGTTCTGGGCACCCGATCTCATTACAGATGGGTGTGAGCCATCATGTGGTTGCTGGGAATTGAACTCAGGACCTCCGGAACAGCAGTCAGTTCTCCTAACCTCTGAGCCATCTCTCCAGCCCAAGACAAATGTTTTTGTAATTACAATAATCCAAGGCCCAGAAGATACTGGCTTGGACCAGTTGGTAGTAATAGGGGTAGTAAAAACCAGTCTCATTCTGAATCTATTTCAAAGGTAGTACTCAGAGAATCTGTTCGGGAATTAAATTGAGGAATGGGGAAAAGACAAGCAAAGGAACATTTTGAGGATTTGGGCAAAAGCAACTAAAGAGATGAAATTGCCTTTTTATAAATACACACTTGAGAACTAAGAATGTAGTTCAGTGGGTAGATTGCTCAAGCTAACACAAAGCCCTGATTTCATCACCAGCAGGACAGTAACTTGGAGAGGCAATCCACATCTTTAATTTCAGCACTTGAATTAAAATGTTTAATTGAATTAAATCAGAAATTCAAGGTAATTACCTGGCTATGTAATAAGTTTAAAGCCAGTCTGAGCTGTATGAGAGCTTACCTTTTAAATACACATACACACACACACACAGTTCTGTTAATAATGGAGACCTTGGCATAAACTAACACTCTCATAATGTTAGACAACTAATTGTGAAGAATTTGACCCTTGAAAGAAAATAATCATTCTGGCTAAGATTTCTATTTTTATGACCACCTGTAAAAGCACTGTAGTGCATTGTTGCTAAATTCATGCTAAAGCATACAATTGTTTGGCTTCAGGTATCAAAGGGGGGTCAAGTTTCAGGGTTTCCAGAAAGACTGGAAATTGAGGGAAAAAGAGAAAGGATCCTTGAGATTGCACGTAAACTGCCCTGAAATTCTTAACTGACTTTAGATACTTAGGCAAGAAGAAAAATTCAGAGATGCTAATGGGAAGCAATAACTGAAAATTTGTAAAAGAACACTGGATAGCATGGATAAGTTATAGGTACAGGAGATCCGTTACCAGTACAGCACCAGTTTAAGGGGTGGTAATTTAAATCTGTTTCCAGTGTCCAGTGAAATGTTATGAGCTTGAGATAGGAAACCTATGTGGCAAGAGTGTCATAACAGGAGAGGATAGAGAAAATTGCCTTGTGTCTTAAGAAGGAAGCAAGAGTAATTTTAAGTAGACTGTGATGAGTTAAGACTATATAATGCAAAGCGTGGTGGCACATATCTCTAATCCCAGCACTTAGAAGGCAGAAGCAATCAGATCTCTGAGTTCAAGACCAGCCTGGTCTACATAATTCCAGGACAACCAGGGATACTAGTGATTCCCTGTCTTAAAACAAGACTACTTATGACCAAAGCTTAGAAAGAAATGAAATTAGCCTGTCCCCTTCTTCCCTTTCAGAAAGTAACTAAAGATGTCAAGGAGGAAAGCATCAGAAATAAGAACAGACAGCAATATGGTGGTTTACACTCAACAATATTAATAATTAAAGTAAGTATGAGGAAGCTATTTTAGTGGAAACCACCAGAGCGGGTGTTCTAACAAACACGATCTTATGAAATACTTTGTGTAACACACGCATCTTAAATGTAAAAGCACAGATAGGTAGAGAGAAGGGTGGTGT